TATACTTCGCCTAAATTGCACGAATACACTTGTAGGAAGCAAGTACTGAAAGACCGGTACTCCCGAACGGCCTTGAAGTCCAGCGGTATTCGTGCCGTCGAGTAGCCGATTTTAGTTCCAGGCACTCAACGGCAAAATACCGCTGGGTTAACAAAGGAACCAAGATGGCCGACCACCGCGGGGCCACACTGAATCTTTCATAACTTCTGAAATATACAATGTTGCAATGTTTAATGGGAGCCACACGACCTTCTGTGTGTGGTCTCCCATTCGGTAGTTTGTTCGTTTTACGAACAGTGTTGAAATTCACTATTCGTGAAACTACTGTATGAATGGCCAGCATACAAATGTTCTTGTTCGCCTAACATAAAAAATTAAGTATATGCTTGGTTCTAACATCCTTAAAGTTACAGCAACACATTAATGTAAATACAGTCTTAAAGTGGCTAGTTTTGCCACAATCACACACGCAGGCAGTCACACACACACACACACACACACACACACACACAGGCAGTCACAAACACGCAGACAGTCACACACACAGGCAGGCAGTCACACACACACACTGTCAAGATATTTATATTGGCAGACATTTTGTGCTAAGATAGAAATTAAAAGTGTATATTTCCTGAGTCACTCAGAATAGAGCGGACTACATTTTGGATCTTCAGGCCAACAAAGACACATCATTTCTTCTTACTTTCTGTAACTAGCCACTAGCCTGAGCTAAGGAATGCATTATATAAACAAGCCAAGTGATAAGCAATGAAGCAGGTGGATGGAATGTTCTGTTTAAATGTTAATAGAACAGAAATAATTTTAAACACAGACACTAGTGACAGAGAAGACTAAGTAATTAATTTTGCTTTCTAAATTTTACAAGGTCCCATTGTAAGTAAGGGGTGAAATTGAGTTTAGAACTGTCAATCCTAGAAATTATGATCATAGTAGTTGCCACAAAGACTGAGACAAACGCTTTGAACTGACAGCAAATTTAAGTTATGGTGGTTATTTTAGATAAGCCAAATGACGTCAAAATCGTCATCAGGAAAAGTTAACTCTTTCCTGGATAGGAAGGTTTAGTGAGGCGAGACTGCCCTCTATGGATCAAATACCTAAATTGCAATCTGCAGGTTGAACAAATCTTAGTTAACTAAAGAATATATAGTTATAAACATTCCATTCTGCAGGTGGAATTAAGAATAATTATATATGAATGTGATAGTATCACGTGTTAGCATACCGCTGTTTTTATCCAGGTGTATTGATTTGCTCTAAAATAAGATAAGATATCTTTTTTAGGCAAATTAAAATTTGGCTTTTGTAATCTGGTAGATTATTCTTATTGGATGGTTCCAGGAAATGACTAATGAGCTGGTTCGAATGTTATTTTATCTGAAAATTACATGAGAATAGGATATTATATGCGTAAGAGGATCTAGCCAGCATTGAAGGGGTTACACAGTTGATCTAACTGTTAGCCAAGGTTTTATGGCGTTTTGCTTTCTTTGTACTGAGAAGTACCCATTAATCGTGTAAGTCTTGACAGGTGATACTGTAGTTTGTACTGTGTTTAGCCATTGCCATTGTATTGCATACTTATGTTATACTAAATATTCACTGATTATTATCATGCATGCTGCCTAATATTATTGTTATTTAATTTGTCACAATAAATTATATCTATTTTTATAACAAATTGTGATTTTATTTGTATGGAATACATTTCACTTACATGATAACGATCTCTAAGATCTAAGAGAATTGAAATAGTGGGCAATTCTCAACTGTATAATATTATCATCCCATAAATATCCCCACATACCGAATGCCCCGACTTTCGTTTCTTTGCATGGGAAAATCAAGCGTTTCAACATGGGGCCATGGTCTAAAGGCAGCAGACGGGCAACTATGCTCCTCCAATGCACAGTGGCGAGATTGGTCTCATCACAGTAGTGATTTAGCAAGGGAGTCTGACAAGCATAGCAATCCCTTGTAGCAGATTCCCCCAATAAGAGACTGCACTCCAAACTGAGGGTGAAGTAGAATTTAAGCTTGTAATCAAACACTCTGCTTTTATGCCCATTCTACAAACATAGTACCGCCCAAAGGGTTTTGAAATACAACCAATCAGTACGTACAATACACTCAGACACTACCACACAAAATCCTCGCCTCTGCCTGTGATATAATTACTGAACTTCAGTGAGCAAGCCTGGTCATCTGCTAAGCCTGATTCCCCAACTTTGCTAGCCCATTCCTTCAGTGAGCAAGCCTCATCATCTGCTAAGCCTGATTCCCCAACGTTGCTAGCCCATTCCATCAGTGAGCAAGCATGATTGTCTGCTAAGGTAGCCTTCTGGAAGACCACACAAAGACTCTATCCTGCACACCTTCATTTATTTATAACTTAACCACCCTGCACATTTATATATATATATATATATATATATATATATATATATATATCCTGTGTACATTGCATATTTTCTTGTTTTCTTGTATTTATATCTTGGCTGTTATGCTAAAGTCTAGTTTTGCTAGCCCTGTCTGTAATTGTTTTATTAACCTCTGACCCCTCCCTTTTCTTATTGATATGATTGTTTTTATTTGAATATCCATCTCTTCATCTCTTTACCTAAACACATTTCCCCCTCCCTTACCTTTATTGCAAGCTCTCTGACCCTCACATCTCTTTATTCAACAGCCTGATTCCCCAACTTTGCTAGCCCATTCCTTCAGTGGGCAAGCCTGAGTGCTATCATCTACCGCCCCCCTGGTTATCCTAGACTATTCATTGAGCACCTTTCTTCCTGGCTTCCCCACTTCCTCTCATCTAGCACTCCTTCCTTTATAATTGGGGATTTCAATATCCCAATCAACAACCCATATTGCACTGATGCCTCTCATCTGCTCTCTGTAACCTCCTCCTTTGGCCTTATGCAATGGTCCAATTTAGCAACCCATACAGCGGGAAACACTCTTGATCTTGCCTTCACCAACCTCTGTACTGCCTCTAATCACTCCAATATTCTTTTTCCTCTATCTGACCACCATCTGCTGACTTTTGACATTGGCATACTTAAGACCCAATTGATAGCACCGTCTGAACATCACTCTCACAGAAACCTCCAATGTCTTGACCTAGAGCATTTCTCCACTAATCTTCAAACTCTCCTTTTACCTATCTCAAACCTCACCTGTCCTAGTTCTGAAACCTCCTTCTACAATTCCTCCCTCTCCTCTCAACTAGACATTATGGCACCTATGGCAGGTGTCCCCAACAACAACCCTGGCACACCAAGCTCACTCAATACCTCCAAAAATGCTCCAGAACTGCTGAACGCTGTTGGAGAAAGTCTCACTGTGCATCTGACCTTCTCCACTATAAATTTATGCTGAGCTCATACAGCTTGTCTCTTTCCACTGCAAAAGTTAATTACTTCAATACCCTCATAACCACACTCTCCCGCAAACCCAAACGACTATTTCTCACATTTAACTCTCTTCTTCGCCCTGCTGTTCCTCCTCCACCTACTAACTTGAATGCCTCAGACTTTGCAACTGACTTCACTGACAAGATCTCTACAATCAGAAAAGAGATCTCATATTTCTTCTTCCTCTTACAATACTTCCCCTAACTTCACTCCTTCTGCTGCTCTATGTTCATTCGCACCCACTACATTGGAAGAAGTTTCTGCTCTGCTCCAGTCTTCCCGCCCACCACCTGCTCCCTAGATCCAATTCCCTCACATCTCATTTGTACTCTGTCTTCTTCTCTTTCTCTACCTCTCACTAAAATTCTCAATCTCTCTCTCTCCTCTGCTATATTTCCATCGCCCTTCAAACATGCAACTGTAACCACCATTTCTAAAGAAGCCCAATCTTGACCCTAACTCCCAATCCAACTATCGTCCTATCTCGCTACTGCCTTTTGCATCCAGATCCTTGAAAGAATTGTGTATGTGAGATTGACAGACTTCCTCGAGTGCAACACTCTGCTAGATCCGCTTCAGTCTGGTTTCTGCGCTAAGCACTCTGTGGAAACGGCACTGACCAAAGTATCCAATGATCTACTCGCTGCAAAATCTAGTGGTCACTACTCTATCCTAATTCTCCTTGACCTGTCTGTGGCTTTTGACACTATTGATCATCAACAGCTTCTTCTCATCCTCCGCAATATCGGTCTACAAGATATTGCTCTCTCCTGGTGCTCCTCCTACCTCCCCCAGCACTCTTTCAGTGTTTCTTTCTCTGGCTCTGCATCTTCTCCCCAGCTTATCTCTGTTGGTGTCCTCCAAGGTTCAGTCCTTGGTCCCCTGCTGTTCTCCATCTATACTGACTCCCTTGGTAAATTCATTAGCTCCTTTGGCTTCCAATATAATTTCTATGCAGATGACACACAAATCTACCTGTCCTCTCCTGATTTCTCCTCGTCCCTCTTGACTAGTGTCTCTGACTGTCTCTCTGCTATTTCTAACTGGATGGCTGCCCACTTCCTTAAACTAAACTTGACCAAAACTGAAATTCTGGTCTTTCCTCCCTCAAGTGTTGTTACTCTTGTGTCTGTCTCCCTTCAAGTCAACGGTGCTACCATCAGCTCCACTGTGCAGGCTTGCTGCCTAGGTGTTCTCATTGACTCCAACCTCTTCTTCAAGCCTCATGTTCAATCTATCGCCAAATCCTGTCATTTCCATCTTAAAAATATTGTGCACATCCGCCCCTTCTTAACGCTAGATGCGACTAAGGTGTTGGTCCATTCCACTGTCCTTTCTCACCTTGACTACTGGAATCCGCTTCTCAGTGGTCTTACGTGCTCCCAACTTGCGCCGTTGCAATCCATAATGAATGCAGCGGCGAGGCTCATCTTCCTGTCCGCCTGCACCTCCCATGCCTCACCCTTCTGTCAGTTCCTACATTGGCTTCCTATAAAATATTGAGCTCAATTTAAAATTCTGGTTCTTGCTTTCAAATCGCTACATAATGCTGCTCCCACCTATCTATCCTCCCTTATACACAAGTATGTCCCGTCTAGGCCCTTACGATCTGCTGAAGACTTCCGTCTATCTTCTGTCCGTACTCCCACCTCTGATGCTCGCCTTCAAGATTTCTCGAGGGCTGCACCGTTCCTGTGGAACTCGCTTCCCTCCTCCATTAGATGCTCACCCAGTCTCCACTCCTTCAAAAAATTGTTAAAAACCCACTTCTTCATAAAAGCGTATCAATTAAACTGTTAATAGCTCCTGACTGATTCCTCTTCTGCAACTGTCACTAGTCTAATACTATCCTTACCTTTTGTGTCATTTTACCCCACTCCCTCTAGTGTGTAAGCTCATTGAGCAGGGCCCTCAACCCCTCTGTTCCTGTGTGTCCAACTTGTCTGGTTACCACTACATGTCTGTTCGTCCACCCATTGTAAAGCGCTGCAGATTTTGATGGCGCTGTATAAATATCATAATAATTACACAATGGGCTAACAGTTTTACACAATATTCATAACTTTAAAAGTATGCATCACATTCACATACAACTTAAATTTTCAGAATCAGCATACCAAATACAAACATACGTCAAAATCATACAAATTGGATCCAGTGGATCAAAAGTTTGTTGGAAGTCCCTTTGTGACCACTGCAAGCATAGCTTAGGTGTAGTAAGCTAATTATCTCCAGTATACAGAAAATAGCTCTATTCATGTGACGAGACCAATCTCGCCACATTGCATTGGAGAAGCCTGGTTGCTCGTCTGTTGCCTTTGGATCATGGCCCCATGTTAAAAGGCTTGATTTTCCCCTGCAAAGACATGAAAGCTGGGTCATTTGGTGCTTGCCCTGTTTGAGCGGTGATACCCCAGATAGCTATGCCATTGAGCCCATTCGTATAATGAAAGACCCAG